AGAGAGAGAGAGAGAGAGAGAGAGAGAGGCTTATTTATCAAACATATCTTTTAGACAAAGGCAAGAGACTTGTGAGCGTTCCTGACAAAAGTTCAAGCCTTGTCGCCTGTCAGAAGATCCATCACCGCCCGCATGATGCTTCCGTTGTTCTTCTCCAGCAGTCTCTTGTTCGTCTCACTGTCACGAAATCCCTGCAACAACAGAAAATCCCGGTTGAATCGAAAGATTTCGTTTTGGTTTCTCAAACCGTGATATGTCACGACAGACGTACCATCTCCCGGAGTTCTTCGAGGATCGGATCCCACTCCGAGACTCCACAAAGGGCATCGACCGACTGCTCCAGGTTGTACTTGTTCTGCCTCAAGACCTCCTTGTTCAGATCGGTTTCCTTGAAACCCATCTCCTCGAGTTCCTTGAGCAGGCCTTGCTCCACCTCATTCTTCCCGTCGAGTTCCTCGAGCAGTGCTCGCTCAGCATCATTCGATTCCTCGTGCTTTGTAGAGGAACCTCCGAGTGATCCCTCAGCAGGGGCTGCAGGCTCTGTGAGGTCGATGATGTGATGTGCAGAAGACGAGGGATCAAGTTTACGAGGAGAAACGGGACGAGCTTCTCCAATCAGCAAGTCCTCCTTTTCAACGGCTTTGGATTCTTCAACTTTCGGTTTCAAATCAGCAACGGGTGTGACGGTTTCCAGAACAGGGCCGTCATATTGATCAGGCTCGTTACGTGGTTCAAACTCTTTCAAGCTACCTTCATCAGGAGAAGCGTTTAAGTTCAATCCATGGAACACGTTCACAACAGAGTCCTTCAAGGATGCATCAACCTGTATGTATTCACATTGAAATGATCAAGTAAAGAAATTTGACACAGGAGAAATGAATCTTCATGGAAAGAAGAAGAATTCGAGAAAAAAAAAGCTAGAGGGCGTTGCTATTTTACATGGATCAGAACCCAAACACGTTGTCCAAATTTAGCACCAGAACTGGAAGCCATTCTCCAATAAGAAGTGTACCGACCCGGCGACTCAGGTGCAACGAAATCAACTGCAACATTGAGCTCACCGTCAACCCCCACGCCCTGCTCCGGGATCTGCTACAATAGAAAAAGATCAATTAAAGAATTTGCAAAACTTCTTCAAAATCTAAAACC